GGGTAGGTCTCACTTGGCACCATTTTGCATTTCAGAGCAGATCCTTTCCTATGACAGTAACACTATTTCTCAGGTGTTTCCTTACTCTACCACTCTGCATTTGAAGCAAGGCATGTTCCTTATTTCAAGATTCAATATTCCAGTCATGAAATAAAACAAGTCTAAGAAAATTGAATAACCCCTTTTTAAGCAAAAATCAACTCTCTAGAAACAAATATAAACTGCTAACTAAAAACTTAAAATATATACATATGTTCTAAGATTAAAGGCAAGACAAAAATAACCAGAGGGTGAGTATTTTTATTCAAAGATTTAATGCAAGCCAGAAATACCCACAGGGTGAGGCAGGAAAGGGTAGTAATTGAAAGCACAGCAGGCTCTGGAGTCAGACAAGGTAGGTTTGCATCCTGGCTATGCCTCTCCAAGCTGGGTGACCAATCTTGCAGATTTACTTGACCTCTTTATCTTCTGTAAAATGGGGACAACAAAAAACACCTACTACAGAGGAGTGCTGTGGGGTAAAAATGAGAGAATGTACTAAAAGTGCAATGCCTTGTATTGTAAGTAATCAATACATTTTAGTTATTATTATTTGCAAGTGCCACGTAGAAAGATACTTATTTTTTTTTACTATTAGGACAAAAGGGAAACATTTCTAACAAGATTTGAGAAAATGAAAAAATATGAATTCCATACCAATAAATGGATATTAACATATTTTCTTTATATGCCTTATTTATTTTCTCAGGGAATTTCAAAGGCTTCCCATTTTTTTACAACTACAACCATTGTAAAAGCAATGTGACAGTTATTAAGGAAAAAGAGACATTGATTAAAAGTAAGCTCTTACGAGTGAACAGTGTAGAAGAAGAATGCTGACAGTTTCTGTTAGGACAACTGGAACTTGTTCCTTACCACCTATTAATTACTTGAAATTACATTTACAGTTCTGTAGGCTAGATTGTCACTGGCCTCTCACAGACAGTAAGATCATTTTAATAAATCTAAACTTCAAAAAGGTTAAGTATATAACGAAATAGAAGCTCTTAAATGTTCCCAGTTACATTTTAATTGGTTTGACCCCTCTGCTAAACAACTTGGCAATTGGTATCCAACAAAATCCATAAAACTGTAAGGACCACTGGACCCAGGAATGATCCAAAAAAGGTTATGAATGACAATTAATTGGATTCTTTTTCTTTGTCTCCTTCATTTTTTTTGATAACAGCATTATTGATATATAATTCACATTTCATTCAATCCAATTAAGTGTACAATTCAATGGTTTTTAGTATATTCAGAGTGGTGCAACCATCATCACAATCAATTTTAGAACGTTTGCCTCAAAAAGAAACCTAACATCGTTTGGTTATCATCCCCCAATTCCATCTCTGCACTGAAGGCTAAGCAACCACTAATCCTTTGTCTCTATGGATTTACCTATTCTGGACATTTCATATAAATGGAATCATTATGCTAAGTGAAAGAAACCAGTCACAAAAGACTATATATGTTTTTGAGGATCATCCATGTTACACCATACATCAATACCTCCTTTTTATGGCCAAATATCCCATTGTTTAGATATACCACATTTAATTTATGTGTTCATCAGTTGGTGGACATTTGTGCTGTTTCACCTTTTGGCTTGTATGAATAATGCTATTATGAACATTCATGGACAAGTTTTTTTTTTTTAATTTTTAAAATCTTTTATTTTTTAAGTAATCTCTACACCCAACACGGAGCTTAAACTTACCAACCCTGAGATCAAGAGTTGCATGCTCTGACTGAGCCAGCCAGGCACCCTACATGGACAAGTTTTTGCTTGGACATACTCTCATTTTTCTTGGCTACCTACCTCGAAGTAGAATTTATATGATTCCTATAGGAGTGAAAATCATGGTCCAACAATGTAATAATGCTGCACTCCCAAAGGTATTATGCAGAAATGCTACACTCTCAAAAATACTCTGCAGAAAAATGTTGGCCATGTAGAAGGAAAACCACATAGTAATATGGAAAAAGGCTACATGAAGTGAAAAAAGGATAAAGCCCATTTAAAATCCTTCCTGGGCTTCCCATCCCCTCCTCTGTCCTATGGACCTAAGGACTTCAATTCTCTCCCCCTCAATTCCCAGGACCAGCTATATACACTACCTTTCAGAGATTCTTTTTTTACGACCTCTTAGCTTCAGAACCCTTGTACATGTTGTTTCCCCTGCCTGTATCACTTTTCCCCCCACTTCTTTGCCCAGTGGTTTCAAGTCTCATCTTAAATGTCACTTCCTCAGAAAAACCTTCTTTGATATCCCTACCTAAGGTTAAGTATTTCCATGGTAGTCTGCAATTTTCCATCTTAATACTTTTGATATTGGTAATTGTTTATTCAGTTAGTAATCAAATATTGAAAGGTTATTACATGCAGGGATACAGAGTGAAACAAAACACGCAAGATCCCTGCCATCCTTGACCTTATATTCTAGGGAGGGAATTCATGCACACGTATACAAGTCAATGTACTGGGTAATTTTTTTTATTTCATTTTATTCCAGTGTAGTTAACATGCAGTGTTATATTAGTTTCTGGTGTACAATATAATGATTCAACAGTTCCATATATTACTCAGTGCTCATCAGCTAAGTGTACTATGTATTCCCTTCATCTATTTCACCCATCCCCCCACCTACCTCCTTTCTGGTAACCCTACTATGTTCTCTATAGTTGAGTCTGGTTTTTTTTTTTTTTTTGGTTTCTCTCTCTTTTTTCCTTCGTTAGCTATTTTGTATCTTAAATTCCACAATGAGTGAAATCATATATTTGTCTTTCTCTGATTGGCTTATTTCACTTAGCATTATACTCTCTAGATACAGTCTTGTTGCAAATGGCAAGATTTCATCCTTTTTATGGCTGAGTAATATTCCACATCTTCTTTATCCATTCATCTATTGATGGATACCTGGGCTGCTTCTATAGTTCGGCTATTGTAAATAATGCTGCAATAAACTTAGGCGTGCACATATCCCTTCAAACTAGTGTTTCTGTATTCTTTGGGTAAATATGTACCGGGTAAATTTAGATAATGATAATTAGCTTAATATTTATCCTGTTTGGATTGTACACTCCATGAAGGCAGGAGCTATTTCTGTCTTGGTTACTTCCAGTTTGCTAGAGCTTAACCCTGCTAGAGCTTATTCACCACCTGAATAAGCTCGATACAAATTTTTTCAATGACTGGTAAAATAGGCATATAAAAAACAGAAATGGAAAACACAAAGGAGACTACTCCTGTAAATGGTTGAGTTTTTTTTCCCCCTTTCCTCTTTCAAAACTTTCTGTAGTTCCACATATTCTTTCTATAACTAAAACAATTAAAAGATGAGCCAAAAATTACCATAGGTGAGTAAAAGGACCTCAAATAAAACACATTTATATGTCACCACATACTCGTTAAACACCTGGTAATAAAACTTACTCAAATACTCAGATGTGTTGGTTCAGTGAATAGAATTCCCTTGGCACATTACCAAGCAGGTTCCCCGCCATCAATAGTATCATTTACCGTTTTAAAAGGCCTTTAACACCCAAGACGGTGCTTAAGAATATGATCCTCAAAACTGCCACATTTCTAAAGTGCCTGACAGTCTACCTCCATCCACTACGTGCCACCGGAAAAAACCGCAATTCTACTTATACGTAATAGACAATTTTTTGCGAGGTCAACAAAGAATGCAAAATCTTTACACAACAGAACACCAGCCCCTTCCCAATAAATTCTTCTTACAAGCCCTAGACACTTATCAGGTTGGATAACATTAGGTAGCTTTGCGGTGGGCCAAAAGAGCATCCAGACAGAACCCCACCCCCAAGCGGAGCACTCAGCCTCTTCTTTCTTCCCCGGGGCGCATGCGCAGTGCACTCTCCGGGCACCGCACGCCTCTGCCAGCAAGCATAGGGCGCTTACGTCACCGTGAGATGCTGATATGCCCTTCCGCTTCTCCTAGGAAAACGAGTCCGCGCACCTTTGACTTTCCTTAGCCCGTAGGAAATGTCTTCCTTTCTTCCACCCCAGTACTAAAGACTTCCCCCGCCCGTCTCCAACAGCCGGCTTTCTACCGGAGTTCTCTGTACGTCCGTTGGACGGTGAAGGCCACGGAAAGGAAATGAGGGGAGGGAGAAGGGCCACTTCAACGTTGTTTACAGGGCGTAAAGAAGTCTAGGAATCGGTCCGCGAGGGCGGAGCTGAGGAAGCCGGCACTTCTTCCTTCCATCCCCTCCCTCCCCAGCCTTCCCCGCGAGCGGACGCGGCAGCGCTTCTGTCTCGCTTTTTCTTATTTTTCCCCCCTTTCCCCTTCCTTTTTTTTCCTTTTACCCTCCTTCCCCCCCTTTCACCATTTCCCCTCGAAGACGCTTCCCCCGGGCAGGGGCAGAGCCGGTCTCACTCCCCGCCTCTCCCCGGCCCCCGCCGCCCTATGGCGAGAGGGAACCCCCTCCCCACCCGGGCACTAGCGGCGGTGGTTGGAGGAGTGGGACCGGCGGTGGCCGCGGCAGCCTCAGGTCCGGGGGAGTCATGGAACTAATTCGCTGACCCACCGGCCGCAGCCGTGCGTCTCGCTCGATCGCCAGCGCCCGCGCCCCCCCCCCCGGCCCGGTTCCCCCTCTTCTCCCTCCTCAGTCGGTCCCGTCCTTGTCCCGCGCGCCCCGCCGCCGCGCGCTGAGGAAAATGGGGTGGTAACGGGCACCCGGATGACCCCGCGTCACCACTGTGAGGCCTACAGCTCCGCCGGGGAGGAGGAGGAGGAGGAGGAAGAGGAGGAGAAGGTGAGGGGGCGGGGGGACTCGCGTCTCCGCGCCCCGCGTCGCGCCCCCCCCACCATGGCCCCTCCACCCCCCACCCCGCGCTTCCCGAAGGGAAGCTCCCGGAGCCGCGCGCTCCTTGGCTAAGGCCCGGCCTCCGCCTCCCCTCTTCAAAGGAAACCTTCGGGACCACCCCCCACTCTCTCCTCTCCATGCCAGAACTGTTCGGCACCTGCCCAGTTTGTAAACGGCTCTGTCGTGTTCCCTTTCGGGCCAGTTTTTCCGTCAGCGAGTAACTTTTGTAGCAACAGCAGATTGCCCATTCGTGCACGTTCTAGGCACCGTAAGCCGGTCTCATACACAAAGAAGCGGACACACCCCCACCCTTAGACTTCAACGCTACTGCGGGAGCCAGAGGAGTGTAATTTACGTTGCAAAGCGGAGTGAATGCCAAACGAGCCGCTGAACGGCCAGTGCTGCGGGAATTCGGGGGGGAGGGGAACGTTACCCCAGGTTTAGGTGGGTGGGGGAGATTGGAGAGGAGGTGAGATTTGAGTTGAACTCTGAAGGGCAGGTAGAAAAGTACCGAAATTTTGAAAAGAGGGCAGAACGGTCCTCTCTTGAGCTAGAGGTTCCATTGCAGGTCATTTGGGCAAGAGTTGAGAATTGGGTAGCAAAATAGTGGAAGGTATGCCTGGGGAGGTAGACTGGAATCAGACTGAAGATCTTTGAATGTCAAGCTTAAGTATTTAGCTTTTATTCTGTCAGTGGGGAGGGTCTCAGCGTTTGAGGAGCAGAGTGTGCTGTTAATAACACTTGTTGAAGCTTTTTATCTGACAGGCATTGTTCAGAGCGGTTTGCAACTCGTTGAATCCTCACAAGGACTCGTTGTGAGGCACGCAGTTCAGGAGCCTCATTTTACAGAGGAGGAAAACTGAGGGTCCACAAGATTAATTTACCCCGTGGGTGACACAGCTAGAGCCCAGTGGCCAGAATTCAAACCCGAGCAGTCTGACTATGCTATATAGTCTCCATCCCAAAATGAATTTGTTGAAAACATTAAAGATAGTATTACTTGCTTCCAGCTTTTGCACATCGTTTGTGGTAGATGAAATAGAAGGGAGTGGGTAAGTAGATTAAGAAAGAATCAATAGGGTTTAGATTTGCTAATCTGGAACCAGAAAGATGAGAGATTCTGAATTTCTAGTCTAGGATAAATTTCTTAATACTGATGAAGAGCAGACTAGTTAGAATCATCATGTGTTGGGAAGGCATGGTAGAGATTTTCAATTACAGATGACGGAGTTTATGTGGCAGTTTGACTCCTAGTAGGTTAGAATGGAACTCTGTAATGTTTCTTGGTCAAGATTGGAAGCTGAGAGTGTGTATACATGTTTTATTCTCATTGTATAATACTTTAAAAATGAAAGATACTCACTTTTCTGTGCATGTTTCTTCATCTTCAAAATGGGCTTAATAATAATACCAACCTTATGAGGTTGCATAAGGTTAAATGAGTTAATACGGCAGAGTACTTTGAACAGTATCTGGCCAAGTAGTAAGCACTCATTGCTTTGACTTATTAAGAACTTAAGTGTGAGCTGTTTGTTAGACGTAGTGCTAAACTCTGGAGAGTGTTTGCCATCAAAGAACTCGTGGTTAGTAGGAGAGACAGGTCTACAAATAATTATCACAGCAATTAAATGCAGAAGTAGAATTATGTCTAAGTACAGATGTAAGAAGGCAGGGTACTAGTAGCAGACCTTTGCAAATGACAGCTCTGTAGGAAGGGGAGTGCCAGCTAGAGGAGGACACTTCAGGCTGAAAGAACTGCGTGGAAAGGCATGGAGCTAGGGAAACAAATAGCGGGCTGTTTCGGAATTACAAGTACCTGTAGTTAATTATTAGGTTGGGGCATGAAGTCAAGGAGATGGTCACATTAATAAATCCCTCTTTTTAGAATGGGAACTAAGATCCAGAAGTCTGCATCAGTACAAAATTATAAATGGAGTTGGTGTTAATGGTGATAATAAATATAATAATTCTGTATTAATGAAGTTTCTGTGTTTACCCAACACCGTGCAGTACTTTTCCTTAGAATAGCAGGAGGCTCTGTATTTAGATTTAAAGTATAGTTTATGCCGTACAATAACTTTATTCACTCATACATTAAGCTATATGATAAACACGGAGAAAGAAACAGAAGTAATTGAAAGATTGGCAGGAGAAATGTTAAACTATCATAAAGTTAGAAGTGTGTGGAATATGCCAACCAAAACAGTCTTTTTGTTTCTTAGTTCCTAGAGACTTCTATCTGACCATTCAAAATTCTGGATATGATTAATGGCATAAAATAATTAGATACAACTAAAAAGTTCTAGTATTTAAAACAGTAAAATTATATTTTAAGTGTATTTTGAGCAGGTTTATTCAGCAGGTTTCATTATTCATGTAACTCAGTCTATTTTACACATTAGAAAACAGGCTAATGCATTATCAGTAAGAAAAGTAAAACTCAAGCTAGTGCTTTCTTCACTGTATCATTGTCTTACTAGAATCTTTTTTTTTTTTTTTAAGATTTCATTTATTTATATGGGGGGGGGCGCAGCGCAGAGGGAGAAGGAGACTCCCGCTGAGCAGGGAGCCCAACAATGCAACAGTGACAATTCTGGGCTCAATGCCAGCACCCTGAGATCATGCCCCAGGCAGAAGGCAGATGCTCAACCAACTGAGCCACCCAGGCACCCTGTCTTACTAGAATCTCAGAAAAGGAGTGTAAAAGGTATCCTGCTAATAATAAGCACTTCCATCAATAATGTGTTTGGCCTCCCGGCGGGGCGGGAGGAGGGTGGATTGTCCACATTATTAACTTGTAAATAATTTCAAAAAGAAACTATCGTTTCATCTATCATTAATATTTCACCCCGTTTGTTTTATCATTTGTCCTCTCTCTCTCCCATACATACATATATATAGCATATATTATGGCCCTTTTCTCCTAAGTATTTCAGTGTGTATTTCCTAAGAATAGGGATGTCCTTACAGCATCACAGTAAAGTTATCAACTGTAGTAAGTTTAACATTTATACTTTAATTTGTCCATGTTCCCATTATGTCAGTTGGCCCAATAATGACCTTTATAGCATTTTATCTTCCCAGTACAGGCTTGAGTCTAGGGTCAGATATTGAACTTTCATTTTTCTGTAGTCTCATTTGATCTGGAATATTTCCTCCGTCCTTTTTTCTTTCACTTGGATTATTTATACCTTATTTTTAAAAGATAAAGGAAATTTGAACTCTTTATCCTTTGTTACATTCCCCTAGTGTGAGCAAAGAATGATTCCTTTATTTTCTATTCTTCATATGGTGTATTACATTAATTGATTTCCTGAATGTTAAACCAACTTTGCATTCCTGGGCTAAGTCCCACTCAATTATGGTATATAATCCTTTTTTTATGTTGCCAGATTGAGTTTGCTAGTATTTTGTTGAGGAATTCTGCATATGTGTTTAGAAGAGATGTTCTCAATAGTTTTATAATGCTGTTGTCATGTTTGCTTAACTGGCCTCATAAAATGAGTTGAGAAGAGCTCTTCCTCTACTCTTTGGAGGAGTTTGTGAAGAATTTTAAACATTTTTCTATAGATGTTTGGGTAGAATTCATTAGTGAAACCACTTGGGCATAGGCTTTTCTTTGACAATTGTTTACTAATTCAATTTCTTGTTATATGGCTCTTAAGCTTTTCTATTTCTTTTTAAAGGTAGTTTTGATAATTTGTGGTTCTAACTAGTTGTCCATTTCATGCAGAGTTGTCCTATTTATTTGCAAGCCATTGTTCATAAAATTCCTTTATAACATCTTTTTTTCCCCTACAACATAGATAGTAATGGCTCCTTTTATTCCTGATTTTACTACTTCATCCTTTCTGTTTTTATTTGGTCAGTGTAGCTAGAAGTTTGCCAATTTTGTTGATCTTTTCAGAGAACCAACTTTTGGTTTCATTGATTTTTGTCTATTTTTCTATTCCTTCATTAATTTCCACTCTAATTTTTCTTCTGATTTGCTTTAAGTATAGTTTGCTCTACTTGTATCCCATAAGTTTTGGTATGTTTTCTTTTTCATTACCTCAAAGTATTTTCTGATTTTCCTTGTGATTGCTTCTTTGACCCAGATTCCTTTGTTTTAAAAAAATTGTTAAAGCGTCTAAGTATTTGAAAATCTAACTTAGGGTCCTAATTGTAGGAAATTGGAGAACAGGAATCTCTTGAACTGTCTTATTCTTTACATGATTTATCCTGTGTATCCCTCTCTGTTCCCCATCTGTCCCTCCTAAAAATAATCTTCAGAGGAAACATTTTGAGGGAAGAGCAATCACAGGAGCAGCCAGCCATTGGGGTGCGTTGAGAAGGCTGGGGGATCCTGGTGAGCCACCCTGTTGGGTGTAGCTAATAGAATGAAGTAGTTTGGTAAGTTTTGACAAGAGTTAATAAATTACAGACTAAAGATGGTTAAGTGTCTGCCTTCAGCTCAGGTCATGATCCCAGGGTCCTGGGATTGAACACCCCCACCCCCACCCCCTGCTCAGCGGGGAGTCTGCTTCTCCTTCTCTCCCTGCGTCTCCCCCTGCTTGTGCTCTCTCTATGTCTCTCTCTCAAATGAATAAAATCTTAAAAGGAATAAATCTCTAGGGGTGCCTGTGTGGCTCAGTCATTAAGCATCTGCCTTCGGCTCAGGTCATGATCCCAGGGTTCCCGCATTGGGCTCCCTGCTCCGCGGGAGGCCTGCTTCTTCCTCTCCCACTCCCCTCTGCTTGTGTTCCCTCTCTCGCTGTGTCTCTCTCTGTCAAATAAATAAAATCTTAAAAAAAAATAAATCTCTAAAAAAAAAATAAGGTATAGAAGAAGCCTTAGAACCAATAAATAAACCAAGTTTAATCTCCATCCAGTATAGATGTTTTTATTCTAAAGATCTCTGGACAGATGGTCATCTAGTTTACACTCCCATTTCTAAGGTTAATATTTAT